ATTACAAGAGGAAGCACAGCTTGAAGCGCTTTGCGTGTCGCAAGTGTGGGAAGTGGTTGGCCGTGAAAGGTGACTGGAGAACCCATGAGAAGAACTGTGGTATACGTTGGGTTTGTGTGTGTGGTTCTGATTTCAAGCACAAGAGGTCTCTCAGAGACCACATCACATCTTTTGGCAATGGTCATTCCCCTTTTGTTTCTACATTTGATGGGGTTGAGACACATGAGAGTTCTATGAATTCTCTTTCCATTTCCATAGAACTCTGTATCAATTAGTGGCATTTTATATAGAAGTTTTTGAATGTAGAGGGTGAAAGTCATTAGGTCTGTCGATGGAGCTCATTTTAATTCGAATCCAATTCGACTCCTAACTGATAAATCGTATGTAGATTGACTTTTTTTTTAATCCATAATTCGAATCTAAGTCTTTTATATCATATTTTATAAATTTGAATTTAGATATAGAATTAGGCAACACTAAAGCGTTAGTCGCCGCATAATTCTTTACCATCGATTGTGTTGGGGTAACCATGAGACATCTCGAAGTCAAGTGGATTTGTTTAAGTGGTTAAGAAATTTTCCATCCCGAGCACGACATGATATGAGCTCTTTTCTCCTTAGCCCTTCCCGATTCTCATTATGATAGTACATTTCAAGAAAAAAATTATCATAAATCTCTTGTTATTGGGATTGAATTACAGATATCCATCTATCTGTAGTATTTTGGTTGTTCCTTTGATGGAGAGAACCTCATTGATGAATATGTCAAAGTTATCATATGATGATCCTCCTTGTCTAGTAGCGTTTTCCGCTTTCTGTTTCCACTGCAAAGCTTCCTTCTTCATCTCCTTCCCTTTCTCTCCTTCCATCAATTCCTTGATAGCCTCCGCCACCTGCTCACGCTTCACAGTGGGATCAATCTCCACACCAATCCCCCATACCTTGCAAGTGTATCGACAATTCGTGTATTGCTCCCCAATATATGGCCAGCAAATCATTGGTACACCTCCAGATATGCTCACTGTCATAGAATTCCAACCACAATGTGTCAGGAACCCTCCGACTGAACAATGGGACAGTACTTGATCTTGTGGACACCAGCTTACCACCAAGCCTCTGTCTTTAGTCTCTTCAATGAAGTATTCTGGTAGTTTTGCTGAGTTTCCCAGGACAATGTCAGGACGAAGAACCCACAAAAATGGTTTCTTCCTACTTGCAAGCCCCCATGCAAACTCTATAAGCTCTTGATCAGTCATCAAAGTGACACTACCAAAGTTATCATACATGACAGACTTTACCTCTCTTTGATTCAACCATTCCAGACAGTTCAATCTTGCTTATATAAGCTTAGGCCCAGTGATCCTATTTGGGTTTTGGGCATGTTCTGCAATAACATAGGTAGAGGGCCCAAAGAATAGATGGAAGAGAACTTGGATGTTATTGCATTGAGGACTTCATTTTCCAAATAGTCAAAAGTGTTGAAAATGATATCAGAAGCATTCATACAGTTTGATGCTTCCTCGCCCAAGAACTTGAACATGAAATCGTTTAGATCGGTTGTTCTCATGTAGCTTGGCAGATCCCTCAGCCAGATGTCTCTCATGCCAGGTATCCAATCAACAGCGGTATCAAGATACCCATTACTAATGTATTTCTCATCTGTATAGTAAAAACAAAATACTGTCAAAACACTTATATCATTGGAATTTATCCAGAGGTTAAGTCTATGGGTCAGAGCCTATAACTCAGCAATCAAACTTATTCTATGATGATTAGTTCAAAAACCTCAGAACCAACAACTTGTACATAATTGGCATCTCCCAAATAACTTTGTAGTTTCATTAATTGATATGCATGGTAGTAGATCATAATCAGCTTAGTATTATAACTTACATTCTTTTTGGCAAATCTGTTTGGAGCACTCACCCAAACAGAATACCCTTCACCAATTTGCAGTTCATATTGACCAAGCTTTTGTTTGTTCTTCAACTTGAGGACTTTCCCTTTAAGTTACATCAAGTTTTATTCTGATAAATAATACCATTACCTTCCGAAAGAAAATGCTTCCATGACTTCCTTTTCAACTTATCTCATTATCGTTGCTTATTCTGCCTATAATCATCCTGGCCATCCACTTGGAAGTGGGTGTGGACGGCATAGATTCAAATCCCTTGAGTTTACCCAACCAATAGATATGGTGTCCAAATTGTATAATGAAGGTGAAAATGAGGACTGTAACATCCATCTATTCTATTATCCATGCAACAAAATAGGTGTTAAAAAGCATATGGATCATTATTTAAACTGTAGTTAAGAATTGGACAGAAAAAAGCTCATTAGATATTCAAACAAATTATAAAGGAGATTAGAAACAACAATTACTACCTCGAATTGGCAGGATGCCTCTGTTAACAAGCTCAGGAAAATGGAGAAAGCTCATGAAACTGCAAGCAGCAGCAGGCCAAAACAAGATTGCCGGAATGCCTAGTTCATGGCCAGCTTGTATAGCAAAGCTCATGACCCCATCCAAATCTATGCAAGTGACTTGGGGCACATCAGGAGTGATATTCAGCTTTGATATTAGTTTCAGAAATGGAGTGAAGCACTGTTTTTGAGTCGATTTAGACATTTTGATGATCAACTCGGTTGCATCGCCTTCGAAACTAGAAATCATCATGTATGGCTTCAAACCTGAAATCATCAGAACCCATCAAGGCATCTGAACCTATGGATGATGATAAACCTCTGTGATTGAACTCAGTGTTGAAATAGGTTATATGAGTGCCTCTAGAATGTAGAAGTTTTGCCAATTGCATCATGGGGTTCAAATGGCTGGGAATGGAATGCAAATGGCGTGTGGCTTCCTGATCCATCCCATTCTGACTCTGAGAGGAGTTGAAAATGGCTGATGAACTTAAACAGAGTTTCGTTGGCTTCATGTATTTGTAGAAGGCATAAAAGAAAATTGGTGGAGGGCTCTTTACTCACTGTTGGAGATATAACAGTAGCTTAGTTTATTAGGACTTATTAATGCCTAGTTTATTAGGGCTTATTAAGTTTTTTCTTGTTACCTTTTTATCTTTATTGTAACTTTCATTGGCTATATATACGAGACTCTACACTTAGTTTGTATCCCTTTTTCACTTATCTTTATTCCAAGTTGGTATCAGAGCCATATCCTAACCCTAACCCTAACCTCATCATCAATCACCACAGCATCGACAGCCATCAGCCCCTCCTCCACGTTGCAGCCCAGTGCCGATATCAATCCGCCACTACCCAGCAACAAAACCCCAAACTAATACACACCGACACCATTAAAACCAACAAATAATAAAACCAGCAACACCGACTGTAACCTTAGCAGCACCTAAACACATCAAACCAGCGAACAACATTCTACCCATAACACATACACCGACTAGCATACTAAAACCGATTGCCCATCCACCATACACCATCAAACTCAGCCTACCCAAGACCACCGACAAACCAGATAGCCCTCTCCACCGACAAAAATACCCAGCAAACCAGCCTTTCTCATCAAACGGCAACACTAGCGACATCAGGCCTACCCAAGCCCCCAACGCCTATCCCAGCAAACCAGCTTTCCAATGACATCAAGAACCAGATCACCGACTGATCACAACACCACCCAAGCACCTTCAGCAGTCCAGCCTGCAACAAATCAAAAACCAACCTGCACCTAAGCAAACCGACAAAGCCAGATAAACCCATAGTGGACCACTTTTATAGTCCAACCCACTTTTACAGTCCAACCAAACCCATAAACCGAGACAGTCATATTAAATTAATCACTCAAACCCAGACCAGCACCTAAACACACTGTCCAAGCCCACGGTTAAGTCGCACTCTTTGTCACAGCATTGTGTTTTGTCTTCGTGCGTCTAATTATTTGGGACTGTTGGACCTTTTAAGAGGGGTTGAATCCTCTTCTCCGTTGATATGCTCTTGATGCAGTAGATCATTTATTTATATTTATTGAATTTCTGAGCACCGTGACCTGATTATTTGAGAGCTTTCTGGACCTTCTTTATCTGTCGTTACTGTTCGACTGGAGGTATATTGTTCTTACTTATTTTATCCCTCTATTTATTTTAGAGTTGTTTTTTATGTCACGGGTGCCCTCATATTGTTGTTGATATGACTACTACTGAGGGACTTGAGACTCTTACTTTTGCGACCTCTACCGTTGAGACCTCTACTATTGAGACATCTATTGGTACTTCCACTTTTATGTTTGACCACTATACAGTACCTATTAGAACAGTTGCATTACCAGCACTGCCGGGTATGATATCTCAGAAAGTTACGGCACAATTGTTGAATGGCCGTAAAATGGCTGATGAACTTAAACAGAGTTTCGTTGGCTTCATGTATTTGTAGAAGGCATAAAAGAAAATTGGTGGAGGGCTCTTTACTCACTGTTGGAGATATAACAGTAGCTTAGTTTATTAGGACTTATTAATGCCTAGTTTATTAGGGCTTATTAAGTTTTTTCTTGTTACCTTTTTATCTTTATTGTAACTTTCATTGGCTATATATACGAGACTCTACACTTAGTTTGTATCCCTTTTTCACTTATCTTTATTCCAAGTTGGTATCAGAGCCATATCCTAACCCTAACCCTAACCTCATCATCAATCACCACAGCATCGACAGCCATCAGCCCCTCCTCCACGTTGCAGCCCAGTGCCGATATCAATCCGCCACTACCCAGCAACAAAACCCCAAACTAATACACACCGACACCATTAAAACCAACAAATAATAAAACCAGCAACACCGACTGTAACCTTAGCAGCACCTAAACACATCAAACCAGCGAACAACATTCTACCCATAACACATACACCGACTAGCATACTAAAACCGATTGCCCATCCACCATACACCATCAAACTCAGCCTACCCAAGACCACCGACAAACCAGATAGCCCTCTCCACCGACAAAAATACCCAGCAAACCAGCCTTTCTCATCAAACGGCAACACTAGCGACATCAGGCCTACCCAAGCCCCCAACGCCTATCCCAGCAAACCAGCTTTCCAATGACATCAAGAACCAGATCACCGACTGATCACAACACCACCCAAGCACCTTTAGCAGTCCAGCCTGCAACAAATCAAAAACCAACCTGCACCTAAGCAAACCGACAAAGCCAAATAAACCCATAGTGGACCACTTTTATAGTCCAACCCACTTTTACAGTCCAACCAAACCCATAAACCGAGACAGTCATATTAAATTAATCACTCAAACCCAGACCAGCACCTAAACACACTGTCCAAGCCCACGGTTAAGTCGCACTCTTTGTCACAGCATTGTGTTTTGTCTTCGTGCGTCTAATTATTTGGGACTGTTGGACCTTTTAAGAGGGGTTGAATCCTCTTCTCCGTTGATATGCTCTTGATGCAGTAGATCATTTATTTATATTTATTGAATTTCTGAGCACCGTGACCTGATTATTTGAGAGCTTTCTGGACCTTCTTTATCTGTCGTTACTGTTCGACTGGAGGTATATTGTTCTTACTTATTTTATCCCTCTATTTATTTTAGAGTTGTTTTTTATGTCACGGGTGCCCTCATATTGTTGTTGATATGACTACTACTGAGGGACTTGAGACTCTTACTGTTGAGACCTCTACCGTTGAGACCTCTACTATTGAGACATCTATTGGTACTTCCACTTTTATGTTTGACCACTATACAGTACCTATTAGAACAGTTGCATTACCAGCACTGCCGGGTATGATATCTCAGAAAGTTACGGCACAATTGTTGAATGGCCGTAAAATGGCTGATGAACTTAAACAGAGTTTCGTTGGCTTCATGTATTTGTAGAAGGCATAAAAGAAAATTGGTGGAGGGCTCTTTACTCACTGTTGGAGATATAACAATAGCTTAGTTTATTAGGACTTATTAATGCCTAGTTTATTAGGGCTTATTAAGTTTTTTCTTTTTACCTTTTTATCTTTATTGTAACTTTCATTGACTATATATACGAGACTCTACACTTAGTTTGTATCCCTTTTTCACTTATCTTTATTCCAAGTTGGTATCAGAGCCATACCCTAACCTTAACCCTAACCTCATCATCAATCACCACAGCATCGACAGCCATCAGCCCCTCCTCCACGTTGCAGCCTAGTGCCGATATCAATCCGCCACTACCCAGCAACAAAACCCCAAACTAATACACACCGACACCATTAAAACCAACAAATAATAAAACCAGCAACACCGACTGTAACCTTAGCAGCACCTAAACACATCAAACCAGCGAACAACATTCTACCCATAACACATACACCGACTAGCATACTAAAACCGATTGCCCATCCACCATACACCATCAAACTCAGCCTACCCAAGACCACCGACAAACCAGATAGCCCTCTCCACCGACAAAAATACCCAGCAAACCAGCCTTTCTCATCAAACGGCAACACTAGCGACATCAGGCCTACCCAAGCCCCCAACGCCTATCCCAGCAAACCAGCTTTCCAATGACATCAAGAACCAGATCACCGACTGATCACAACACCACCCAAGCACCTTCAGCAGTCCAGCCTGCAACAAATCAAAAACCAACCTGCACCTAAGCAAACCGACAAAGCCAGATAAACCCATAGTGGACCACTTTTATAGTCCAACCCACTTTTACAGTCCAACCAAACCCATAAACCGAGACAGTCATATTAAATTAATCACTCAAACCCAGACCAGCACCTAAACACATTGTCCAAGCCCACGGTTAAGTCGCACTCTTTGTCACAGCATTGTGTTTTGTCTTCGTGCGTCTAATTATTTGGGACTGTTGGACCTTTTAAGAGGGGTTGAATCCTCTTCTCCGTTGATATGCTCTTGATGCAGTAGATCATTTATTTATATTTATTGAATTTCTGAGCACCGTGACCTGATTATTTGAGAGCTTTCTGGACCTTCTTTATCTGTCGTTACTGTTCGACTGGAGGTATATTGTTCTTACTTATTTTATCCCTCTATTTATTTTAGAGTTGTTTTTTATGTCACGGGTGCCCTCATATTGTTGTTGATATGACTACTACTGAGGGACTTGAGACTCTTACTGTTGAGACCTCTACCGTTGAGACCTCTACTATTGAGACATCTATTGGTACTTCCACTTTTATGTTTGACCACTATACAGTACCTATTAGAACAGTTGCATTACCAGCACTGCCGGGTATGATATCTCAGAAAGTTACGGCACAATTGTTGAATGACCGTAAAATGGCTGATGAACTTAAACAGAGTTTCGTTGGCTTCATGTATTTGTAGAAGGCATAAAAGAAAATTGGTGGAGGGCTCTTTACTCACTGTTGGAGATATAACAGTAGCTTAGTTTATTAGGACTTATTAATGCCTAGTTTATTAGGGCTTATTAAGTTTTTTCTTGTTACCTTTTTATCTTTATTGTAACTTTCATTGGCTATATATACGAGACTCTACACTTAGTTTGTATCCCTTTTTCACTTATCTTTATTCCAAGTTGGTATCAGAGCCATATCCTAACCCTAACCCTAACCTCATCATCAATCACCACAGCATCGACAGCCATCAGCCCCTCCTCCACGTTGCAGCCCAGTGCCGATATCAATCCGCCACTACCCAGCAACAAAACCCCAAACTAATACACACCGACACCATTAAAACCAACAAATAATAAAACCAGCAACACCGACTGTAACCTTAGCAGCACCTAAACACATCAAACCAGCGAACAACATTCTACCCATAACACATACACTGACTAGCATACTAAAACCGATTGCCCATCCACCATACACCATCAAACTCAGCCTACCCAAGACCACCGACAAACCAGATAGCCCTCTCCACCGACAAAAATACCCAGCAAACCAGCCTTTCTCATCAAACGGCAACACTAGCGACATCAGGCCTACCCAAGCCCCCAACGCCTATCCCAGCAAACCAGCTTTCCAATGACATCAAGAACCAGATCACCGACTGATCACAACACCACCCAAGCACCTTCAGCAGTCCAGCCTGCAACAAATCAAAAACCAACCTGCACCTAAGCAAACCGACAAAGCCAAATAAACCCATAGTAGACCACTTTTATAGTCCAACCCACTTTTACAGTCCAACCAAACCCATAAACCGAGACAGTCATATTAAATTAATCACTCAAACCCAGACCAGCACCTAAACACACTGTCCAAGCCCACGGTTAAGTCGCACTCTTTGTCACAGCATTGTGTTTTGTCTTCGTGCGTCTAATTATTTGGGACTGTTGGACCTTTTAAGAGGGGTTGAATCCTCTTCTCCGTTGATATGCTCTTGATGCAGTAGATCATTTATTTATATTTATTGAATTTCTGAGCACCGTGACCTGATTATTTGAGAGCTTTCTGAACCTTCTTTATCTGTCGTTACTGTTCGACTGGAGGTATATTGTTCTTACTTATTTTATCCCTCTATTTATTTTAGAGTTGTTTTTTATGTCACGGGTGCCCTCATATTGTTGTTGATATGACTACTACTGAGGGACTTGAGACTCTTACTGTTGAGACCTCTACCGTTGAGACCTCTACTATTGAGACATCTATTGGTACTTCCACTTTTATGTTTGACCACTATACAGTACCTATTAGAACAGTTGCATTACCAGCACTGCCGGGTATGATATCTCAGAAAGTTACGGCACAATTGTTGAATGACCGTAACTTCGCTGAGTGGTCTCGCTCATTCGAGTTTTTCTTAGGCCGTGTAGGGAAGCTTGGTTGGCTGACGGGATATCACCCAAAGCCAGTTGATGCCGACCCTGGATATTCTATGTGGTTCTCTGAGGACTGCGCCATTCTTGGATGGTTATTTGGCTCGATAGAGCCATCTGTTTGTAGGATTCACTAGTTTCATAACTCTGTTTCGAAGCTATGAAGCGCATTATTAGAGATGTATTCTTAGTCAGGACGGGGAGTACGTGTTTATGAGCTTTCTTAGGAGCTCTCATATGCTCGGCAGGGAGACATGACCGTTTAGGATTATTATGGCTATTTGAGCCAGCGCTGGCTTGAGTATGAGACTTTACGTCCTCTTGCTGCTATTTCGAGGATAGAACCCGAGGGAGCAGCATTCTTGCATTCTCGAGAGCAGGAGGATAGGATTCACAAGTTCTTTATGGGGCTTCGTGATAAGTTTGAGGGACCTCGTTCCTAGATCTTGTTGATGTTGACCTTTCCTTCTCTTTATGAGGTGTATGCGATGATTGAGCAGCATAAGCGCCGTGTCCGTATTGCTTTACTTCCAGTTGCGGCCTTGACTCCTCCGGCTGATCATATGACCCTTGCAATTACTGCAGGGTCTCGTTCAGAATCCTCAGTTAGAGGTGGGCAGCGCTCGGACCAGCGTCGTCAAGGTGCCCAAGATCAGCACAAATAGGGAGATTCTCGTCAGTGTGATTATTGTGGCCAACTAGGACATCTCAAGGCTACTTGCTGGAAGCTCCATCTAGAGCTTAAGCCGCCTTCTCGCGACCGTACTGCTGTTATTGTTGAGGTACCACCACTTACTATCGCTACTACTATTACTGCTCCTCCTTGGCAGAGTGATATGGATGCTATCACTTCCTGAATGGATAAACTTATGTCCGCTCTAACTTCTCGGAGTCCGACTACTACTGCTGTCACCACTACAGGTATATCTCGTGCCTATCATGCTTGTGCCAGTCCGTCTCCCCTTTGGATGCTAGACTCGGGTGTGAATGGTCACATGACAGGTGAGGCCCATCACTTCACCAGTATTGACGAGCAGTTACATACACAGATTCACTTAGCAGATGGGACACATGCCCCTATTGTTAGTAGTGGCACAGTTCACCTCCCAGATGGCTTTACATTACGTTCGATTTTTCATGCGCCAAAATTGACCATGAATCTATTATCTATACATCAGTTAGCCAGAGATTTTCACTGTGCGATTGTGTTCTTATCTTATTTGTGTTATTTACAGGACCTGAGTACCCGGAGAATTATTATCAGGGGACATGAGAGAGATGGACTGTATTATCTAGGCGATCCGCCTCCGGTTTTATCAGTTCTTTCATCTACATCACCTACACCTGCTTTGTCTTTATCTGTTCCTAGCTTGTATGCTGTCGAAGAAATAATTCTTTTTACGAACCTCAAACAAAGTAGATCTTGGCGGCAAGAGAAGCCATCTTTTTTGCAAGAGAACAGGGATGCGAAGGAATTACTTTGGAGGGTGACTCGGCCACAGTTATGAACCTACTAACCGAATCTGAGATAGAGTTTGATCCTATGGGTACTATGGTAGCAGATATTAGCAATGTTCAGCAAAATTTTCGATTTTTTGATATGTCTACTATAAGAAGAATTAGTAATACGGTCACACAATAGTTAACTAAAAATGTAAAGTTTGTTGATTGTTCTGATGTGTGAGAGTAGGTGGCACCTAATTTTATAATGGCCCTCTTCCTTATGGATTTTTCTAATTAACCCAACTCATATCCTTTCTTTCAAAAAAAAAAAAAAACAAGCAACTTGGTCGAAATCTAGATGATTTTTATATCAATATCTCGCAGTTGAACTATCATATGGAGGTGGTGCTAGCTGATTTACTGTCTGGACCAGATGGGCCAAGAGGGCTGAACAAGGCCCTGATTTGTCTGAGCGGCATAAACTGATGATGCCCACCCCATAATTGATGGTGATACTTAATATGGTACGAGTTAAGTTAATGTTAAACAGGAATAATCTAATTCTATTCGACAAACCCTTTGTCAATATAAAGAACATTGCAAACATTTTTTTATTCATTTTTATTTCTTGATCTATCATTTTATGAATTCTTGTAGTGTTCAAAACAATTTCCGTGATTTTATAAACATATAGATCGAAGGAATTTTAGATTATGAAAAAACTTATGAAATTTGATCCGGTGAGAGAAAAGTACATTTATATAGTGGATTTTGGGTGCATTTGTTATGAGTCGTCATTTCGATCACGACTCGATTAGTAAATCGTATTAATTGCCCTAATCAGTGTTTAAGACATGAACTGGTGATTAATTAAATATATTAGTAATCGGGACAAACATGTAAGGACATGACATGATTCGTTTGTCAACTCTACATGTAGCAAGGCAGCTTTTGGTGACTTATGCAAACATGCGTGTCATTTTTAACATTGCCAAAGAAAAGCTTCCTTTTGTGTACGTCGTTGTCTTCTTGATAATAACTACCCTAATATAAAAAATCATTCAACCAACAAAAGGATCGGACAAAAAACGCAAATAAGAAAGCATCGATAATAGGTGACGGGTAAGCCAATTTCGTTGTGTGTTGCTCTCGCAAGCAGATATCGATTGATATTGAGGACAATGAGAGGTGCGTTTTGAAGCCACAATGACATCCATTGTTGTTATTACTATAGTAGTTTTGAAGATATGAGATTTTGTGAATCTCGGGATAAAATTGGATCAAATTTATCAGCAAACTTTGAAGACAAACAGTCATCATCTATATAATAAAATATAATATAATTTAAATTTTAAAAGATAAACAAAATAATTTTTATTTTTCGTGATTAAAATCTCTTTAAATTTTACTTTAATATTAATCCAACGACTAATATTAACACTCCAAATTTAATAAGGAAAATAAACTCCTAAAAGTGTGTTTGAGGTTAATTTTTAAAAGTGTTTTTAGAACATAAGTACTTTAAATAAAAAAATAGTATTTGGAATCACTCTACGATCACTGCTCCCACGCCACAACTACCACTACCACCACCACCACTACCACCACCCCACCACCATCACTACGTCCAATCGCCGCCACCACCACTCCCACTACCACCACAACCACCGGCGCCATCTTTGTCATAACAATCACCACCGTCGTTGCCACCCCACCACCATCATCCCCATTGACCTACCACAATCACTGTCACCCCCACCATCCCTACCACCGCTGCCACCCCACTACCACCACTATCCCTCAATCACCCCCACCACCCTAACCCCCACCGTCTCACCACCAATCCCTTAAACCATCAACACTATCACCACTAGTGCCACCCCACCACCACCACCACCGCTGACACTGCCACTACCCCACCACCTGCCCCAACACCACCACTCCCCCTCATTTCCACCATCATCGCCCCTCACCACTGATAGTTACCACCGTCACCACTTACTACTATTGTCATCTTATTCTTATATTTAATATCACTACCTTCATCACCCACCACCACCATTGTTGTCAACCGTCACCCACTACCACAACCCATCACTACCTATTTTCACCCACCATCGTTACCAACCACTGTCACCCACCCCCACCACACTTACCGCCACCACCCGTTATCGTCCACCACTGTCACCATCCACTATCACTCATCCCTAACACACCTACCACCACTCATCATACTGTCGCCCAAAAAAGCACCTATCATCGCCCACCACCACTATCGTCATTGTTACCACCACCGTTGTCGCCCCACCACTACCACTGCTAACTACCATCACTATCGTCCATCACCACCACTGCCAACCACCATCATCGTCGCCCATCACTACCCACAACTACCACCACAAAAATGTCGTCACCCATGACTTCCAGTACTATCATCGTCACCTATGACTTCCAGTACTATCATCGTCACCCAAAATTTACCACCACTATCTCCATAGCGACCCATAGTTACCACCCACCATAATCATCACCGTTTTTCTACCACCACCACTACTACCACTGCTCACACTCACTACAATTGATGCTTAAATTTTTTTCGCTCTCTTCTGTGTTTGTGATTTAATTTTAAGTATGAATACAAATATATTTATTATTGACCATTTTTTTTATTACTCTATACAAAAAGGTCAAACCAACTGACTTTTTTGTGGAAAA